AAAAATATGCCTTTCCAATAAAAAGAAGTTAATCTTTAAAAAAAAAAAAGAAAGAAAAGAAAATCATCACTGGTACAATACTATTTATTAGCCTACATATCTTGTCCAGTTTTTAGAGACTCATTTGTTTGGGGGGGTGTGTGTATATGCCTTGTGCCCACAGAAATGTGCATATGCACGCATAATCTCTGACCCAGTTTCATCTATCCACATCACAATCAAGATACAGAACTAGTTCATCACCACAGTGGAGCTCCCTTCTGCTATCTCTTCTATAGGTCCCATTTCTATAGCTGTCATGGCTAGGATGTTATAAAATAGAAGCACATGACATAGATCCTGCTCAGACTTCTTTTTCTACTTGGCATAATGCCCTTAAGAAACACACAGTTTGTGTATCCATACTTTATTTCTTTCTCTTGCCAAACAGTAGTCCAGTGTAAGAATATAACAGTTTAATCATTCACTCATCAAAGTGTATGTGTTGTTTCAGACTGAGGATATTATGGAAAAGCTGATATGAACATCTGCACTCAGGTTTTGACGTGCACAGAACATTTATCTAGGTCAAAGATCCAAGAACAACCGCTGGATCCTAAGATAGACACACATTCAGTATCATCAGCAACTGCCACATGACAGGCTGTGTCCTTTTACATCCTCACAAGCAATGAAAAAGCCATTCTCCCAGCATCCTCACCAGCACTTCGTATTTTCTCCTTTTTAACTGTAGTCACTGGGGACAGCAATAGCTCGGGCTTTTGCCTTTCATTTCCCCCAGCAGTAACGGTATCGTACATCTTTTCACCTGCTTTATTCTCCTCTGTACAACATACTTGATATACAGATTGTTCATATGTTTTGTTCTTTTTTTTTTTTTAAAAAAAGTGCTTTATCTTTTAACCACTAAGGTTTGAGTCTATCTTCTAGATTCTAGATTTAAGTCTCATATTAGATATGTGTGTTTTTGCAAATATGCTACTCTTTAGACTGTTTCCATCCTTTTAACAAGATCTTTCACAAACTGAGCTAAAGGTTTAGTTTTGTGAAGAAAAATATACCCACTTTTACTGTATGTGTCACACTTGTGTTATTTCAAAGAACTCTTGACATGGCCCTGGGTTCTAAAAATTTTCTCCTACATATTCTTCTATGATGCATTTTGAATTAACTTTTATATGCAAAGACTGAAACCATGTTCTTTTTTTCCCTGTAGATATCTGTTGAGCAAATACACACACACCCTTTTTCAGAGAAAATAAAACAAAACTATGTCAAACAGCTTCTGCAGCTCTGTCTGAAATCAGCTGGGCATATCTGTTAGAGTCTACTCCTGGATTATTTTTTTTTTGTTCCATTCATCTACGTGTCTATCCCTCTGTCAGTACCACAGTTATGATTATTGCAACCATAAAGGAAATATTAAAATAGCATGGAGCAATTACTCCCACTTCATTTCTTTTCAAAATTGTTTTAACTATTCTAGTTTATGTGCCTTTATATATACTACATTTTCTCAAAAAAAATGCTGCTGGGATTTCAATAGGAATTAAACTGAACCTGTAGATCAGTTTCAGGAGAAGCGGAATCTTCCCACGCATGCACACAGTATGTCTTTCCATCATTTATGTCTTCTTTGGTTTCTTTGTATGTCCCAATGTGTCATTTTCAGCAAACAGTTGCCTTATAAATGTAATTACATTTATTCTTCAGCACTTCATTTTAGGGGAGAGTGACTTGTAATGGTGTCAAGCTTTCAACTTTGTCATCATGTGTTTATGGCTAATTTACAGAAGCACGATTAGCTCTGGAAAGTGTTCAATATCTTATCTTGTGATCTTGCTGAACTCACCTACAAAGTCCAGGAAATCTTTCTATGTAGCCCTTGGAATTTTCTGCATGAGCAGTCACATCATCTACAGATAGGAACAGCCTTGCATCTTCCTTCCGTGCATTTCTTTACATTCTTCTCTTGCCGTGCCTCACACTGACCAGCACTTCCAGGAAAATCATGAATAAACGTGGTGAGAACAAACACTCTTGTTTTGTTCCCAGCCTTAAGGAAAAAGCATTCAGTGTTTCACTCAAAATCCAAAGTTATTGGTAATCTTGTGGTTTCTCACCCTTGGCCAAGCACCAAAGAGCAAACTCACTGACCATAAAATGCCATGGAATATAGTCAGAGTTAAGAGACACTGTGTTTGCCTACCTTGTGCCTCCCACCTACACATTAGGCTCTTCTCAAAGGAAGCCAGCCAGTCCTCACCACTTACACCATTCCAGTGCACAGGGCAGGTGTGGCAGGTCTGCTCAGTTTCTCTCTCCCATCCCCTGGACCAAGTAGCTAGTTCACACAAACTCAGACAGGGGATTTCTTTGGCATTCTTTTACAAAAGCTCTCTTTCCACTTAAAGATCAGAGAGATCAGCAAAGTGACCCAAGTCCAGCCTGCCATCGGCTCTTAAAAACAAAGTTTTACTGCAACACAGACATAACCACTTAGTTACATACTGTCCAGGACTGGTTTTGAGCTGTACTGGTAAAGCTGCAGTGTTACAACAGTGACCACATGGCCCACAAAGCCTAAAATATCATCTGGCCCACTACAGAAAACACTTGCTAATCTCTGTGCTTAATAATGGGACCTAAGCCCACAACAGGAAGCATCAACATTCTATGGGAACATCTTGGAAAACAAACCCAAGCATATTACATCAGCTCCCAGATTCAAATGTGCTACAAACTATCATACCCAGGTACTTTTTAGTCCCATCACCCAATAAATCCCATTTTTTTCCCAAGCAAGTTTGGCTTTCCTTCATCTGATAAAAAGAATTCAAGTTCATTAGAGTGAAACAGTCAATGTCAAAGTACAATTCTCATTTCTTCCGGCCTTATAACATCTATCAATACAAAAAGACATGCAACTTTGCTTTAACTTAGAATGTGATTGTGTACTTAAAAAAAAAAACAAAAAACAAACTGAGCTGTTAAACCATGAATTAAAATGTGGTAAAAATCAACTGATAAGGGGTTCACTTTTGGTTCTATGTTTTTTTTTTTTTGCCAATCCATCCTAAAATTGAACAACTGAAAAACAAAAATGACAACCCCCCTCAAATTATTCCCCTACTCAAAAAAAAAAAAACCCAACACTAAATAAACTACCACATAATACCTGACACAAATAAAAGAACAAAAAATATGCATCCTTGAAATAAATGAACTACTGTAAGACCATTTTGAGAAGAATGAATTACTGGAAGCCAAAACTCCCAAGGGGACAGATCTAACTAATTAGGAAAACGGCGATTAAAACTGGAGCTACTAATTGTCTCCTGGGTGTAGAGCTCCAATTATGTTCACAGAGGCTCTCAGGAATGGGAGACAAAATTAGGCTCACTCTTACTCTCATCTATGCAGTCACCATTTGTCTACACTGATCTCAGAACACTAAAAAACACATGTGAGCTATGGCTTCTAATGCAAGCAATATGTTCCGATGAGGAAATAATTTTATATAGTGTTTATAAACCGAATAATTCTGTGTTTAAACTTGTTTTAATGTGTACTGTCCTGGAACAAGGAGATGTTTCTTTCAACAGCACGCTTTCCATCTGCAAAGGCCAGATGTTAATCTACCGGCAAACTGAAGTGGTTAGTAAGATCCCAATTATACACAGACTGAGAACAAATATCAAGTAGTAGAGAGGAGAGGGAAAGGAAGGAGGCTCCAAACGAAACTGGCAAAGCAGTTGCCAAACTCTAACTTACAGAACTGGGGACAATGGTACTGAGTTTGACAAACCCAGAATAGGAATGCCATGACAGGGATTCCCTTCATGGCTATTTCTTCTCCTTTAAGTCAAAAACCCATCCCATAGAACCAGAGAAAGGACTGTAAACATGAACTAAGAATTCTTGAGAGACAATGCTAATAATAACCAAAGATTCCAAGGGCTAGACACAGGTTCAAATTTGCTACCACAGTGGAGACCCTACCCTTTTTCTTCCCTATACCCTGGGTTTGGGCAGGACCCATGGCTACTAGTTTACAGGCTAAATTTCCCATCCTCCTTTGCAGCAGACAGGGCCATATCACCTACGTCTGAACCAATGGCAGTGATGTGTGTAACTTTCGGATCCTTCTCAGTCTTACCCTGGCTACTTCCATCTCCATTTTCTAGTTGAAGATCAGCACTGATTGCAGCAACCTGGGAAGTCAGCGGTTGGAGACCACCAGATGACCCGAGCAAGACCAAGCATGCTTCTGCTACACCAAAGCCACAGTGGCATGGAATCTCCATCTCACAGCAACCTAGCCTATTGACTCTTTTTATCATTTATTGCTGGGACAGGGTTAGTCTACCATCTTTGACTTTTTCTAACTTAGAGATTTCATAAACATGGAAGCTAAGATCTTTGACACCAAGATGAAAAGACTACTCTGGGACTTTTCACGGGCTGTTACAGGAGTTTCATATCACAAGCTACCACAGATCATAGCACCAGGCTCACCTCCTTTCTTCCACTCTGATAAAGTTCTACTGCTCATAAAGGGGTGGCAGTTACTATGTCAATGGAAGGCTATACCAAAATGTAATGGTTGTTAATGGGGTGAGCAACTATGAAAGAAATCAATGTGAGATAATGCTTTGCTCCCTATTTCAGGGATGCATCTATAAGCATTCAGTAAGTCAGGGTGGTCTCTAGATCCTTTAAGAGCCCTACAGCTGTTGCTGTTGTCATTGCAAGATAGGAAATTCTGGTGTAGTATCCTGCAAGAATCTATACCTAAAGACTGACAGTCAACCCACAGCCCCCATGGACACACAGAAACAACGTTAACTTCCACAAATAGAAGCTTAGGAACAGAAACATCTCTCTGTGTTGCTTTTAAGGACCCCTGTCTTCACAACAGCAACACTCGTGGCACTAGGGAAGCAACGAACAATTTAGGAGCTTTATTCTTGGCTCTGCTTCCCTGCATTGTTACTTACGGGTTCCCGGCCATCCATGGCTTCCATCCAGAGCCTCCGGTCCTCTTCCGACAACGCCTGCATGGTGATAACCCCTGGCCTGCAGAGAAAGGAGGGACCTGGTTACCGACTCAGTGACACATGGGGAAAGGGGACTCAGCAGAGGGACAGGTTGCAAAGGTGAACAGCACAGAACGAGGCACAACAGCCTGCTTCTCTAAGCCATTTTCCTGGATCTGAAAGCAGGCCCCTGCCTGGAATCCCTTGCAGTTAGCTTATCACCTTTGGTGGGGCAGGAAGCAAGGCAGGAGATCCAACCTGATTTTACAAGCGAAGAACACAGAGGGTAGAGTGATTCCATCAGACCTTTGCTATTTATTGAAATTGCACGCGTTTCTCCACAATGCTTCACATAGCATGAAGACAACAAATTTACTGAAGTTAACAGAAAGAGACAACTCTACAGGCTGAACAAAACTGTCTTCTATCATCTAAAGTTTGAACTATTCCTGACATGAAGAAGTAATCAGCCTTGTAACTTTACTCATATTAAATGTGTGCCTTTTTAAATGACTGCTTAGCACTGCAGGTGCTCCTTGCTCTTGCTCCAGCTCTTGTCATTGTCCTTGGCACCTGCCTCCTTACAGCAGCATAGCCTTCCAGAAAGCAGGTGCACTGCATCCTGGTGTGATGGTTGAGTCTCCATCACCAATGGCACCACACAAGAAAGAGAAGACGAGATTACACATTTCCAAAGCTCACTCAAGCAAGAGTTCCTGGTCAGGGTCCGCAGATGGATCTTGGTTTCCAAAGACGTAAGCAAGTAAGCACAAAGGGAACGGGAATACTGAGGGTAAGGCTGTGTGGGTGTGTGAACATGTGTGGGGGCGGAGAGTCCTACATGTAAATGCTGAATGGGACAAGGTGGATGGATGGGCGGCTGAGTGTGTGTTGATGATGCCCTGAGAGGGGAGTCACTCCTATGAGAGCCTCAGCAAGCACTGGCACCATGACACAAACATAACTCTGCAGCTGAAACAACTTTCTCCAGAAACTCCTGCCAGCAACTCCCTCCTCTTTTCTGGAAGCCTCAATCCCAGACCCATAGCCCATCGTGAGTGCCACCCTCCCTAGGCACCTGCAGATAGTGATCACGGCTGCAGTCTCGAACTTACTGTCCCAGGGGTACAGGAGACTGATTCTAACCTTCTACCTTTCACAATGCCAGGCACCAAGTACTAAAGGCCTTGAAAGTAGAAGTCTAAGAAGCTACAATCTGCTGCAGAACACTCAAGTATGCTTAACATCTTGTACTTGCATCATCGTTTTAGACTCAGGCATTCCACTAGATGGAGGCTCCAAGTCTAACACTATCCTATGGACTCTCAACCTATGCCTAGGTTGGGAATTGGGATGTGAACAACTCTTGCTGGTTATCCTGATACACAGTTAAGTTTGAAGCTCAGGCTCCAGGATGACCATTCATCTCCTTCCTGGTCCCCCTGTGCCAGAGAGCTGAGCTACTCTCCTCTCTGCACGGGGGCAAGCAGCCAGCACGTCTCCAGCTCATTTCCTGCTAGGGAACAGTGAGATCACACGAGGTGCCCACACATCAAGATCTCAGGGGTTCGCAGATGTCACAGTAACTGCACAGCACACACAGTGGGAAGTTTCCACCCCAGAGCCACAAAGAGGAAGTTCAGACAAACCCAGAGGCTATGAAGGGAGGGTCACTTGGCCTGGGTTACCAGGAAGGTCAACAGGATTTGTTTTCATTTCAAGAAGAAATTTTAAAATGTAGATACTCTTCCACACATAGTCTTATACCCTTTGTGGGGATGAAGTGGGCGAGGAGCAGATGGTGGACAGTGAATCAGGTGAATTCAACCCACTTACTCAAATCCTATCACCTCAGCTCAATTTCCCTGAAAGGAAAGTCCTTGAGGCTTTCACTTGCTTTATTTTATTTTGAAGCGTGGTGCTTAGCATGGGCCAAGGGAAGAATAAATACAGAAAGAAAGTTATTGCTTTATTCTAAAATAAAGAATGTGGACCCTCTACCTTAATATAAAGGAGTTTGTGTGCAAGAGATTTGTATAATTGTGGTTTTAATTGCAGTGAAGGAAAAGACACAAACAGGTACTGTATGGATGCCCACAAAGGATAACACTGTGAGGCAAAAGAAGCCAGACCCAACAGAACACAACTACATCATGCCATTTACCACACAGGCCAACACTTGCCAAACTCCACGGCGAAAGGAACCAGAAGGGTGAGTTTGTGGGAATAGGCAATGATAAGGAAGGAGCACAAGAGGAATTTCTGAGGTGACAGAAAAAGCTCATCTCATGATCTAGGAGTGACACAGGTGTATGCAAATGCATGTTTGTAAAAGTCATTAAGATACAACCTTATGATGTGTGCATTTTACTGTATCTACACTTTAGCAGAAAAAGGTGTGTGTTACCCAGTAGATAGGCCTTCTCACCAGTAATGGAGGCTCATGAGGGATACAGGCACTGGGAGCACCCAGGTGGACAGCCTGCTGGGGAAGCAGGTGAGCTGTCCCATGCTATTTGGAACATCTGCATTGGACCTGCTAGGGTGACTGCTAGAGGGCAGTGCATGATGTGAAGGTCAAATACCACAGAGACAAGACTTTTCCACGTGTCAGGCACACAGGTGTGGGTGTGGAGGGACAGCACAGGAGGTGAGCATCAGGGCTGGAAACAGGTAGGTTCATAGGGTTTTCCAACAAAGGGAAAAGCCACACCCAGAAGTGCTGCAGCTCCACAAGCCTTCAAACCCACTGCGTTCACACACAGCATGGCCAGTTGCACCTCGACCACAAGGCGCGGGGCTGTGGGCACACCAGCTCTGACGTAAGGATGCTTGTTTTTTTTCCCCCCTCAGGAAGCAGGAAACTGACCCAGCACTTTCCCACCCCCTTTCTGCCATGAATGTCTAATAACTGAGGAGAGTGGGAGGCATCTTCAGCCAATTCTAGACAATCTGCTGAGGAGCTTCCTCTAACCAGTCCAGGAGAGAAGGAGCTAAGGGCTTAAAAACCTTCTTTCCAGGCCACTTCCTCCAAGAGCCTACTTCAAGGACAGCACCTCTTTCTCACTGCAAAGGTGTCCTGTGTCGGTGCTGTATGTGCACTAGCTGGAAAGCCTCAACAAGGGCCTGCCAGGCCTCTAGGCTGGCATCCACCTGCCACACTGCACAAGTAGTGCAGAAGAAAGTTCTCCATCTATGACACAGCAAGCTGTACCCACCGCCTTATGTACCCAGCCACTACACAGCCCACAGAAAACAACCCATCCAGGGTCTGGGGACCACTGAGGTTGGCCGACAGCCTTCTCTCTCCAGCCATAGCAGGCAGGATCACAATCAGCCCCAATCCCAGGGTTCCTCGACAGCTCTCCTCCTCTGATCTTATTCCTGAATCTGAGTCAACAATGGTGATCTCAGTGGTTTGGCAATTTACCCACTTCCTACTGGACAAGGAAATGCTGTTACCGACTCCACCCCACTGGAACAAACACACTCAGAGTCTGACAGTGCCGTGCTTTCTAAATCAACCTCCAAAGCTGCAGGGTTCACTCATTCCTAAGACCATAAAGCTTCACTTGGCCAGAGTTCATTCCCCGGCTCCCGCCCATACCACTATACACTAAAGTTTCAAGCTCAGAGTAAAAGAGGGACTGTGGCACTGAAAAAAACCCTGGGTTTCTCACAGTCTGAGTGCGAGACCTGCTCCATGATGCTTACATAGAGCGAGGTGTAGGTTTGGGGAACGGGCTGCAGGCCCAACCAAGAGAGTTTTCCGAGAGCCAGCGAGTGGAAGTGGTCCTGTATGTCTGAAGCACTTCCAGAAAAACTGATTCCCTGCAGAGCCTAACCAAGGACAAGGCCAAGGACAAGGATGAGCAGATCTTCAATTACAGACCAGAAGGCCAAAGCTACGCAGAAAAATCCTGGAAGATGACAACCATTCCACGTCTATGAAATTACAGATGCAAATGTTTACAGGGACCAAGTAAAGAGGGAAAATGACGGAAGCCAAAAAACAGCATCTTTGTAACTCTACAAAAAGGGGCTTTGTCTTATTTTCCTTACAACATGCAGCCCTGGGGTAGGTGTTAGGCCTAGTGGTTAGGTCACCAGTTAGAATGTCCTTGTGCCGTGTTTAGTGCCTGGGTCCGAGTCCCAGCTTTGTTTCTGATTCCAGCTTCGTTCTTGTGTAGACCCTGAGACACAGCAGGAGATGGCTCCACCCCACGGGAGACCCCTGAGTTTTAGACTCCAAGCTTTGGCGACTTAAAAAGAAAAATGAAACCCTTTAACTTTTTCTTTTAGATAGACACACAAGATAAAGAAGCAAGAAGAAAAAGTTCAAACGTAAGGTCAAGTGGCAGCTGTCCCCATCACCACAGTGTGAACTAGCAGGATGGAGAACACACACTGCACCCGTCGGAGGCATCTGTCACTCAGCTGGACCAAAAGTTAGCACACAGCACGGTGCGATCACCAGTGACCTGTCCAGTTTTACAATGTTGTTTCAGACACTTGACCTGAGCAGAGCACATGTGTCGGTGGGCCTTCAGTTTACAATTCCTGGTATGTGCATCCATCTTTCTCTGCCCTTTCTTCCTTCCCAGCTTAGTTGCACTTCAGGTCACCACAGCATGTGATAAAGTCACAGCAGGTGTCAGGACTCACAGTGACAGATGCTTGATGCACATTACAGTCCAACTCAGCAGGGTACCCACAGGCCAGCCACAGTAGAGGAACCCCAAACACATCCCTATTTTCTCCACTACTCAGCCAGCCAGCATGTCAGGGTGGGGCTGGGGAGCAACAGCAATCTATATTACTTGGAGATGAAAGCTTATGTTTCTGCTTCACTATGAGAAACTTGAAGAATGAACTACTGGGTCCTGGTATATTGCAGACCCTTGTGCATCCAAAGGATTCACAAAATGCCACAACAATCTGTATGCAGAGCCGGGCAAAAGACAAAAAGTTGGAGACATCCTCCCCTGCAAACGGGCAGCCTCTGAACAGTCACTGAGATTGACTGTTTGCTGTGTGCCA